TCATCGAGGTATTTCGCAGACTGTCTTGGAAGTTTGAAGTAGAGGCCGACTCTGACAATCGGTCACTCTTCTTCTGCTCTAGCAGTAGCCGAGCGTCTGTGTATGTTTTCCTCGACCCGTCCGCCTGAATATGACGAACAAGTTTCCTATTTCCTGGAGTAGGAAAACGGTATTTTGTGAAATCAAGGGCAGGTGGCTCCCACTTCCTAGATTTAGGATGAGGGGTCGCCTCTCGCCCTTGAACTGGCTTCCTCTTCCGTGAAGTGGAGGGTTTCTTAGCCGACTGCTCCTTGTCCAGAGCAGGCGGCTTCTTGTTGATCAACTCTTGAATTTCTCCCTTGAAGTCCCTCATGAAGGTCATGAGTTCGTTCCTTGTGATGGGAGCAGACCCATCAGTCGGCTGCTGCCGAACAGGCGGTGCGCCTGCTGCCGAACAGGCGGTGCGCCTGCTGGCTCGCTTCCAGTTTGAAGATGTTCCCGTTCCCTTCTTTCGGTATGACGGGTACGTCGGGCCCTTAGGGTCCCGTCTGAAGCTGTGTGAGCTTCAACTTCAAATTCATTCTCAGTATCGTGGTCCGACTGAACTGGAGGATCGTCCAGGGGACGTCTCTCTTCAGGAGCCGGTACAAACGTGGGTGCCATCTCAGAAGTACTCTCCCCACAGACGGCGCCAAAATGTTTCGGGGTTTTCTGATGTCCTGCGGGAGAGTTACAATTCCGAGACTGGAACCGGACGCTTGCACCTGCAAAACAAACGGATGCTCCGGATGATTGGAGATCCGCCTCCGACGGTCAAGTTAGTACTTGATTAAGGAGTAATTAATGCAGAAATTAAAGTGATTGGGTCTCTCTAGGTGAGAGTGTTTAATGTGTGTAATCTGCGTAATCTCCCTTAATGAGGATTAAGGGAGGTATTTATAACCTCGGGAAACGTGCCAATCTAGGTTTAGGTTAACCTTGGGCTGATTGGGCTTCCCTCGGAAGTTGGGCCTAGGTGACCGGCTTCTCCATTAGGCATGGAGTATGCCACGTGTCATGACATAATAAGTCCAGGGTGGACGAATAAGCGTGTGCCACGTGACACTTGGCAGAACTTGATTGGCCCACGTGGCGCATTCTGATTGGTGGGAGCAAAATCCCCTAATCACGTTACATATATTTTTTTAAAAAAAAATAGTATGTACATAATGTTGTTGTTGTCTTAGAGGATGACACATCCTATTGCCAAGTTGCCACGAACAGAACCTTGGAGTAGAGTTTGAAGATGGTGATAAGGGGGCCTCTCATGCAAAGAGTGGTGAAATTGAATTGAGGATGAGATAAGTGGTTGGATCTTGTAGATGGGGACTTGTTAAAAGGAATCAACGTGAGTTTTGTATTTGTTGTATATTAAACGCAAGTTGCACCTTGTGTTTGTTTTTGTAAATGTTTAATTGGTTTCATTATAAGATAGCTAACATCATTGTGTTCATTCCAAAAGATCTAAATTAGAAGAATGGATTTTCTCATTATTGCAGCCTTGGATGAAAGCTAACAAACAAAACCAAATTGCTACCTAATTAAGCTACTTGATGCCACATGGGGCAACACCGTTTAATACATAGGTTGATGCAAAGTTTAAGGCTATGAAATCGATACACCCACAATCTTATAAACAACCATAATTTTTTTCCATCTCCATTTCTTAAATGCAACACTTTCTATAATAGACCATTTTTTTACTTGCAATATTAGACACTCCATTCAGTAAAAATAATGTACATTTTCCTATCATATCTATCTTCTTTTTAGTTACCAGTTATCACTTATCCGTTGTCATTAAATTATTACCATACACATGACTAACCTTAGTTAGGACTAACATCGGTCGACCTGTAATCCCCCATATTTTTAAATATTTTATAAATGAAAATTTATTTTATTTATAATATTTATTTGTTATTTTTCATAATTTAATTTCAAATTATTAATGTGGGTCGAAATTTATTTGAACAAATTATTTTATGCACCTTTATTCTACAATTTATGTCCAATCACACAAGCCTAACCCATTTGTTTACTTAATCGACCCATTATTTTTATGAGGCCCAATCTTCTTATTTACCCTACAATTCTCTCCTATAAATACCCCATGAATCCCCAAAAAATTTCCCCACACAAAAGGTTAGTCTTATTTTCTTTCTCCTTTGCTTTATTAATTTGTGTAATTATAATTATTGATTATGGGTTTTGATTTTATTGTTTGAAATTAATTTAATTAGTATCAAATTGTATTTTGATGATTAAACTTTATAATTCAGATTTTATAAGTATCATAATTTTCAGATTTTGAAAATTTTATAACCTAGGGTTTTTAATTATTGAAAAACATGATTTTAGGGTTTTTATGAACAATTGATTTAGGGCTTTTATAGTAATGATGTTTTGAAATTTTGGTGATTATAAGTACTAATTAGTTTAACTTAATTCCAGATCGTTTTGAACACTTAAATTCGTGTTTTAATTTTAAGATTTCCGTTCATTAATATTAATCCCGTTTTAATCCCGATCAGGTTCTGAACTCATCCGATTTTGACAAAAAAAAAGTAGTGTTTTCCATGTGGAAACAACGTTTTAAGAAAGACTCAATACCTTTGGTAGTGAGCACCACCCTCTCGTGGCCAAATTCAGCCTCTAAATATGATTTTCGGGCAGTTTTTGATTTTAACGAAGTTTTTTTATATTTAAAATATTATCCTTGAGTTTGATTAATAAAATTAATTATGTTTAAAGTTAATTAAGCATAAATATATTTTTTTTATTGAAGTTTTAAGTGCTCGAAATAGTTCCTAAGTACTACTTTTGATGTTTTATAAAGAGGGTTTAATCACCCATTAAAAAGGGAGATTATTAGAGGTTTTTAAATAATTTTAAGATTTTTATTAAACTTTAAACTTGTTGCAATTTCATGTATAAGAGTGTATTTTAAGGTTTTTATGAAAAAAAATTAAAGAACTATATATAAGCCTCTAATTTTAACTAAAGGGAGGGTTTTAAAGTGTTGTTTGATTTGGATTTTGAAGGTTTTAAAGTAAGTTAGTGTTGCTGTAAATTTGATTGATTGGGTATTGATTGATATGTTACTGTTTGGTTTAGGAGAGGAGTTTATTGAAGGTGATTTCTAGTTTTTAAGTGGCCAACCAAATTGTTTATACGAGGTACGTACATGTCTACTTTGTTATAAGTAGTATCATGTTTAGGTACCAAAAGGAAAGAATTTAGTTTCATGATTAGGGAACACTTGTATGGAAATTGTTTGGTTACACATTGATTTAATTCATGTGCTTATGTTTATGAAATATGTTTTGGTGAATTGATTATGTTTGTATGGAATTATGGATGCAAACATGTTGAATTATATTGGATTAATTATTTGTATGGAATGTTGATACAAACATATCTTATTGGATTGGTTTGTTAACCACATTTGGATTATTAAAGGATTCGAATTGAATGGTTTAAGTGGGATGAATTTATTAATTATTCCACAAGGTTATTATTTATTTATTTATTACTCAATCATGACTTGTTAGTATGTTGAGTAAAGGTGGATTAAGCCGAAATGGCTAGGTGGGTTGACTATGTTCAACAATTTTGAATAATTTGGAAGTTTAATGGAATTAAAGGTCAACTTGTGATGTGATCACCATTGTCCTAAATAAGATTAAAAGTGAATTGATGTATGATTGTTATGTATGGTCTTCTTGATTGAGTCGGCTATTAATTAAAATTATAATCACGTAAAGTGAAACATGGATGAACAATAAAACTCTGGAAAACGTGCACTTCTAGAGTATTGACAATTATGGGTTGGGGTACACGGTGGTAGCCTGTGGCTTTTTCGAGGCTTGTTTGATCAGCATGTCCTCTTCTCTTTTGGTATTTACATTTTTATTTTATAATGAAAGTTAGATGGGATCCTAGACTAACTTTGTGAGAATGGAGTCGCGCCCATTCTTGCATCGCGCT